ACACGTATTGCGATACGTGAGATTGGACTACGCGGACTGGAATTGACTCGGCGCATTGGAATATATGCTCGCTGAGTTCGGTAGTTTTCTCGCTAACTACAGACGTTTGCGCACAAGTTCAGATAAAATTTTACAGAAATCAATAATAGTTTCCCGAAATTTCCTCAGAATTTTCATATTGTCACCAACATATGATCATGTGCATATTCTTCCATAATGGGCGTGAACAAATCAACGACCTTTCTAACCACTACACCGTCACCGAAAGACCCGAGAGTAAATGCCGCGCTCTTTCTCCACTCACCCGAGCCCTTCCACGTCTTCGCTTCCTTAGAGGCTCCGATTTTCTCCCAAACGATATCACACTGGTGCTTCCTACCATCCATCATCACTACCGTGTTAGACCTGGAGCGGACCCCCAGCTGCTTCTCTAGGTCCATACACATCTTTTTCCACATCCAAAACATGGTGGTTTGATCATAGGGTAGATGTTGTATTATCTGATATTATGAGGCGAATATTGCGGATGATGATAACAATAAATATAATCTTCTGTTGAGAGGGAGAAAACAAGTCCAACAAAAACAGATGCCAATTTCTATAACGATTCCACGCATAGTTTTGTGCCTCCATGTGTGTGTGTTGTGTCAACCTTCTGCCAATCAATTTTGCACACTATACCACCACCACAATATATCATATACTCTTCTACCCTGTTTATGTTGTTTCTATGGCGTACAGCCTACAGTATCTTCAAACTGTAACGCTAGTTTTTTCGCGAGAACTTCTTACAACTATTGGAGTTTCACCCGAAGTTTTACCGTGAAGTGGCGTAAAACTCCGTGAAAAACATGGTATTTGCGCCTGACACTAGTCGTGAAATATGTTTTTCACTAGTGTTCTTCATATCACTAGGGTGAAACTCCATTATAACTCCTACATATCGACTCCATCTAGGTCAGTGTTAACTTGATCTAGTGAGTTTGGCTTATTACCTTCCCCATGGCCCGCTTCTTCGTCTCTCTCTTGCTCACTCCCTCCGCCTCAACTGTAACCACACACCCACTAGGCCCCAGCTGCCAAGTTAGTGAGGAAATGTAACTGACAGGACGAGAGGCATTTCTCCTATCCAAAACCCGACGCATTTAAACCCGCAGAGGTTCGATCCCAAGCCCCGGCATCTGATCTCACCCTCCCCTAGTCTCCCTGAATTTCTCTCCAATCTCCTTGTATCCTTCCAAAGCCGCCTCGCCATACAACTCATACAACGCCAGGAGGTTCTCTTCACTGTACATATGCTCGTGGTGATAACTCGGCATAGACTCAGGAGTTCCCAACGCCGGGATCGAACCCAGGACCTCCTCCTCTGTAAAATCAACAGCCCGCCGCTCTGCCACTCGACCATTCAGTGGTGTTTCCTCAGGAATACTGCGAGTAACCGGCATCGGCCAACCTCGTTCAGCCGTCTCCAACTGAGGAACCGCCGTAACTCCACTAAAAGACCTTCTAAGAACTGCACCGCTTCGCCTTGACACCCGCAAAAGCATCAAATAAAAATAATAGAAACTACTCAATTCGAGGCTCGCATCCTACTCCCTTTCGGAAACACCAAACAAACGTACCACGTAGAGAGCACGATCTCAAGTCACTTAAACGATTTTCATTCATTTAAAAACGATCGAATACGCATTACACATGGATACCTTCAACTCTATTTCGACTGCCACATTTAATCAATGCTTCACTAAATCCACAAATTCGGCAAGATACTACCCACAATTTTCGATGAACCATAAAACGATAAGGAAAATCGGAATTAATGAGAGCTGCGATATTCTCACGTGATACTGCTCTCCTCCGACCATCCACGAAATGTATCCCACAGCAGCAACATACCTCTCCCCACCACTATACACAACACAGTACTACTATCATCAAAACGATCACCATAAGCAGAAGTACGTCCCCAAGCACCTATAATCGCCGCATAGGCGGCGGCACTCTCACTCCTCCCGGCCTGCCCCCCACCGTCCCCTTCCCTCTCCTCACACCCTCCCTCCTCAACTCCGCCCCTCTGTCAACTGGTGACAAATGCACCGCATTCCTCACCATAGCTTGCCCTCGTTTATACTCATCATCAACATACAAGTCATCTCGACGTTCCCGCGCCGCCTCAACAGCAACGGCTTCCGCTCGACGCTCTTCTTCACGTAGTAGCAATTCCCGCCGTTTCCGATCCTCTTTTTCCCTCTCCTCGCGTACCCTGTCCAGATTCTCAGCCGTAGTGCGACCGAGGTCATCAACTTTAGACAACAAAATTCTCAGCAAATTCTTCACATCACGTATCTCCTCCAGCGACCGTTCCAACTGCGCGTCAATATCAAACAATTCCACAGAGACTCAGCCTCATAGTTCGCGGCCTCGCTCACTCTCCTCACAG